TCAGATATACAAGGCAGAGAATGAAATCAAAGACAACAAAACGCAACTACTTCATGCTACAAACGAGTGGAGAAATAGCAACATCGACGAAAGTATCCGTACCCGCATTGAACAACACCTCGACATCCTCACAGACCAACATCACCTCAGCACTGAAACAAGGATTATCAAGAAACTAACAACATTATATGGAGGACCTATGGCAATTCCACGACCAAGAGATGGCTTCCTGAACCTTGCAGGAATTAACCTCACTGAGGACCAAGTCACTCTCCTAAATCTGGGCATAAACTGTCATGTTATGTCCAGACCGAGTGAGATAGCCCGGAAAGTAGAGTTGGAAATTCTGTTGGACGACATATTCGACCTCGAGACACAAAAAGAAGGTCACTACCAAAGATACCTTACAAGCAGAACTTATTGCAGAAGGAGGAAAGAATCGAGGCAATTACAGAAGCACCATACTGTCCCCCGAGCTCAAAGCGGCAGCTAAAAGCCTTTGTGAGAACAAGGAGATAGTTGTCAGGAGAGGTGATAAGTCGCCAATATATGTCATTCTTAAAAAAGACGAATATCTGGCGAAAATGAACATCATACTCTCTGACCAAACTAAGTTCCAAAGGTTAACGAAGGACACTACAGCCGAATTAAAAGCAAAGGTCAACAAACTGATCGAAACTGTGAACGCCAAAAAATCCGGACTCCACCTGCCAAAGATCATTGGGGAATATAAACCTGGATATGCGTATGGAAATGTCAAGACACACAAGCCTGGAAACCCACTTCGGCCAATCATTAGCCAGATACCCACACCCACGTACAGACTGGCGAAGCGACTCAACGGCCTGCTGACTCCTTATGTTCCTTGCGCCTTCAGCCTGAAGTCTCCAAAGGAATTTGTTGACTTACTGCGGGGCATACGGGCCACAGGGATAAGAGCCTCGTTGGACGTAGAATCGCTGTTTACCAACGTACCTGTGGTCGAGACAATCGGGATGATAGCCGACAGAGTGTATCGTGAGACAGCCTGTACTCCTCTTGACATACCAGAAAATATTCTGAGGAAACTACTCCAAGCTTGTACTAAAGAGGCACCCTTCTTGAGCCCGGATGGGCACATGTATAAGCAAGTAGATGGGGTCGCCATGGGTTCTCCCCTAGGTGTCCTGTTTGCAAACTTCTACATGGGTACCATCGAGCAAAAAGTCTTAGTCGACATGAACTTGAAACCGGCCATATACTGCAGGTATGTTGACGACATTTTTACACAGGTACCTGATGTCAGACATCTGCAGGAGCTGAAGGAGGCATTTGAGCAGAGTTCCGTGCTGCGTTTCACTTACGAGATGGAAAAGGATGGGAAGCTGCCCTTTCTAGATGTAACAGTCATGGAAAACAGCGGAGGTTTCCACACTGCAGTCTACACTAAGGAAACGAGCATAGGAATGTGCCTAAATGCCAACAGCGACTGCCCAGACAGGTACAAAAGGAGTGTTGTTAACGCATATATCGACCGTGCTCTCAGCCACAGCTCAGAATGGAAGCAAGTCGACGAAGAACTCTGTAGGGTAAGGCAGGTCCTAGTCAACAACGGCTTCTCCAATGGTTTCGTCGAAGACATCATAAGAAGGAAAGTGAAACGCCATGCAACCTCTGAAGAGACAACTAACACAACACCTATACCCCCCTATTAGACTATTTTACAGGAACTTCTTTTCCACAGCTCATAAAACGGAGGAAAGGGTCCTGAAAGATATTGTTAATAGAAACGTTATCCCTACAGACAAAAATCAGAGGATACAACTGACGATTTACTATAAAACCAGAAAAACGGCCAGCCTACTCATGAGAAACTCTCCAGACACAAAACAGAACGCTTTAAAAGAGACTAACGTCGTCTATGCCTTCAAATGCCCTCTTGGGGACTGTAAGCTCCAAAAAAACCCAGTATATAGGCAAGACAACAACATCTCTTTCTAGGCGTTTAACGATGCATAAGCAACAGGGCTCCATTAAGGAACATATAATCTCTTCCCACAACCAAACCATCGCCAGAGAAATCCTAGTAAACAACACAGAAATCATCGATAGATACAGCGATAGCAGGCGGCTTGACGTTTGCGAGGCACTACACATCAAGAAGTCAACACCAGCAATCAACAGCCAATTAATGCACAAATATATTCTACCCACCTCAAGACTCTGCTCCAATATAGAAGCATCAAGAAATATGGACCAATAGGCTTTCTACAAACACTTCTATTCAATACCCATTGTTTCGTGTTCTGTCTTGTGTTGATGAAATTAATACCCTATTAATGCCACCTCTTGTTCTGTCTTGTGTTGATGAAATTAATACCCTATTAATGCCACCTCACCCCATCCACCTCACTCAAATGTAGATATAAAATCGGAGATGCGTAAGTTCTACTCAGTTGTGTATTTGTAAACTAGTCTTTGAAAATGTAATAAGTTTTACGAAACGCGCTCGTGTCGCGTCAGACTACAAATAAAAATGAATTTTGGAGAATTGATTTTTGATTTACCTCCAACAGTGAAAAGAAATGTACGAAAGATTGAGAAAATTCGTGTTAGAATTATTAATCTTACTTTTTCGGTCATATTAATAATATATATATATATATATATATATATTATATATATATATATATATATATATATTTATATATATATATATAGATATATATATATATATATATATATATATATATATATATATATATATATATATATATATATATATATATATATATATATATATATATGTATATATATATTATATATATATATATATATATATATATATATATATATATATATATATATATATATATATATGTCGTACCTAATAGCCAGAACGCACTTCTCAGCCTACTATTCAAGGCCCGATTTGCCTAATAAGCCAAGTTTTCATGAATTAATGTTTTTTCGTCTACCTAGCCTTCCTAACCTAACCTAACCTAGCTTTTTTTGGCTACCTAACCTAATCTTACCTATAAATATAGGTTAGGTTAGGTTAGGTAGGGTTGGTTAGGTTCGGTCATATATCTATGTTAATTTTAACTCCAATATTTTTTTTTATATATATATATATATATATATATATATATATATATATATATATATATATATATATATATATATATATATATATATATATATATATATATATATATATATATATATATTTATATATATATATACAGTAGGGTCTGATGGTGTAGTGGGTTAAAGCGTACTAGTTATGGCAGCTACTGGAAGGTAGTTGTGCTTTCTGGGTTCGAGTTTCACTGGTGGGTGTTGTCCAAAGATTGATATATATATATATATATATATATATATATATATATATATATATATATATATATATATATATATATATATATATATATATATATATATAAATAAATACATAAATAAATAAAATATTCAGGAACTGAACCCCATAGTTCGTTAACTAAACAAGTGACAATTTGTTGAAGCTAGTTAAACAATTGTTAATGTTACATACACATGTACATACATATACAGACATTTACACAAATACATATACATATCGATACTCTTTTTTATGTCACAAATGATTCAACAAGAGGCTCGCAACAGTCACTACATCTATGGTGAGTCACACAGTTACTAGTCTTGCTCCACACACCCCCAACTGGGCGGCAGCTTTACAGTCATGGGCATGCTTTCCCTACAGTAAACAAATTTTGGATACTTCGCTAAGATTCCTGGCAGTACATCATTATGAATGAAGTACTTACTCATTTCTTGGACTCCGTTGAAGGTGTTATCTCTGAATTCTGCGATTTTTTCACATTCCATTATATAATGACGTAAAGTATGCGAGTAGTTCTGCTGACAGAGTTTACATTTAGTTAAATCTACATCTGCAGATGTTTCAAACTCCCAGAGGTTCTTGTAGCCGAGCTAAGCCTATCAGTTATTGGATGATCCATAGACGTGCGGTTTTTCCTGCATAATAGAATAATGATAGATGGAGCAATTGGTGTGAATTTCACGTTGCCTCAAGTCTACGAGATTTTTTATGTTCCCGGAATTTTACTGCCCTCAGGCTGCTCAAAGGCAGTCCAAGATGGTAATCAATTCCTTCTTTATGAGTCGCCAGGTAGGTTTGGATAGCCATGATCCAAGGATGTACTCGCCAGGCAGGTTTGGATAGCCATGATCCAAGGATGTACTCGCCAGGCAGGTTTGGATGGCCATGATCCAAGGATGTACTCGCCAGGCAGGTTTGGATGGCCATGATCCAAGGATGTACTCGCCAGGCAGGTTTGGATGGCCATGATCCAAGGATGTACTCGCCAGGCAGGTTTGGATGGTCACGGCACAAAGATGTACTCGCCAGGCAGGTTTGGATGATCATGATGCAAAACTGTACTCGCCGGGAAGGTATGGATGGTCATAGTACAAAGTGGAACTTGATAGGAAGGTTTAAATGGTTCCAGCAAGAAATGAAAAATAAAGACTTAAATAAAATGCATACGTTATTGCATTGCATTAACAAGTATTTGGATTTTATATACAAATTGGATTTTAATTGCAATATTTTATCTCTTTTCTATTACAGTGAAGAACATTGCTAGGAGCAGGAGCAGTATCTGATGAAGACAGCAGCTGTAGCAAGATCAGCAGCCAGAGGAGTGCCTGAGAACAGCAGCCAGAGGAGTGCCTGAGAACAGCAGCCAGAGGAGTGCCTGAGAACAGCAGCCAGAGGAGTGCCTGAGAACAGCAGCCAGAGGAGTGCCTGAGAACAGCAGCCAGAGGAGTGCCTGAGAACAGCAGCCAGAGGAGTGCCTGAGAACAGCAGCCAGAGAAGTGCCTGAGAACAGCAGCCAGAGGAGTGCCTGAGAACAGCAGCCAGGGGAGTGCCTGAGAACAGCATCAGGATCAGAGAAAGAAGCTGCACACCCATAAGTACTCTACAGCAGCAGCAGTTGTGGCCAGAGCCAAAGATGAGTCAACACCACCACAATGGCCACAGGAAAGCACACAAGAAAGTCAGGATTAACAGGGCGAGGAAGAGGCAGAGTTTGGTGACGACGTCTGCTGCGTTGCGGCTGTTTATTGTGATGGCTGCTACGGTGTCTCTTGTCCACACCCTGGCTCTCCCGGCCCCTGCTGACACCCTGCCTCTCCAGGCCCCTGCTGATACCCTGCCTCTCCCGGCCCCTGCTGACACCCTGCCTCTCCCGGCCCCTACTGACTCCCTGCCTCTCCCGGCACCGGCTGACACCCTGCCTCTCCCGGCCCCTGCTGACACCCTGCCTCTCCCGGCCCCTGCTGATTCCCTGCCTCTCCCGGCACCGGCTGACACCCTGCCTCTCCAGGCCCCTGCTGATACTCTGCCTCTCCAGGCCCCTGCTGATACTCTGCCTCTCCAAACCCCTGCTGATACCCTGCCTCTCCCGGCACCGGCTGACACCCTGCCTCTCCCGGCCCCTGCTGATACCCTGCCTCTCCAGGCCCCTACTGACACCCTGCCTCTCCAGGCCCCTGCTGACACCGAGCTTGTTAATATCGTGCCTGATGGCATAGTACCTGATGGCATGGTGACTGTTGACATGGAGTTAGTTGACATGATTCCTACTAACACTCTGCCTGTTGGCACGGTGCTTGCTGATATCCTACCGGTTGAAACGTTATCTGCTGGCACCCTGCCTGCTGACATGGTACCTGCTGATCCATCATCTGGTGACTCATCGCCTGCTGATCCATCACCTGATGACCCATCACCTGCTGATCCATCACCTGCTGACCTGACAACTGCCTACCTGTTTCCATCTACTCTGCCCTCAACTTATCCAACTCGTCAAGGTATGTGTTATCATGTTATGAACAAGGCTGTTCTTCATAATTTAAAATAACAAAAGTTCATTAACGTAGGTGAAATTGCACACCAGATGAGAACAGATTACTTACAAAAGCACATGTGGCATGTTAAATATGCAAATGAAAGTTTATGATTAAGAAAACAGCCAGCATATGCAAATTAACCAGTAGGCATGTAATGTGTTAAGTTTACATGGGGAATTGAATGTATTAGTTAATTCTTATTTGTGATGGCAGCATTTTGAAATGTTAGTACCTAATTTGGAATAACATACAAATCCTGTTATATGTCTATGTAATTACGTATCAAGAAACTAGGCTAATGTCTTGATATGTTTCATGCATTAGGTTGTAGTTTTTCTTGTGATTCACAGAGACTAGCGTAATAGATCGTAGGCAGTTTGTAAGCATAGTTACCATACCTTAAGAGTTATAAAGTAATTGAACAGAGGTGCCCTATGTCCATATAGCTTTAATTTAATGGTCGACAGAGAGTTGTCATGAAATTTCATACACCAGCTGAAGGTGCAATTCTGCTACATTTCCAGCTGTGGTGTAAAGGGACGGATGTATACCACTGATTTCAGAAATATTATACTTTGTAACGGGTTTTTCGTGGGTGGCAATATACTACATACCTGGAGATGTTTCATTGTTATTAGGTATATATAATACATGCTACGTTACCTGTTATTTTAGCTACACGTGTCTGTTAAAGTATACTTGACTACACGGAGTGAGAAAGCTAGCAACTTTACCGCCTCCCAAAGTTAAAAGTCAGTTTGTCTATTGATGTAGTAGATATAGAACATGTACTACTGGGCAACTACTCCAACAATTAATTACCCATTTTACCTTTAAGTTAAATAATTGTTTTAGGGTCAAGTATTTAATAAGTGGGTTACAATATAAGATAAAAATATTTCCACTGTTTTATATAAAGTAATAAAATTTTTATTGTCAATAAAAATTTGAGAAACTACATAAGTGACAAAAATCTTGTAAACTCTTTCTATAAGTTTCTAATGAGGAAAAGATTTTTCCATATGGTAGGGAGAAATAACAGGTAGGGCCATTAAATAATATCAACACAATAGAATATCTTGAATTTGGATATTTTAACACGAGAATGATAGCCTAGTTAATAAAATAAAGTCAACAATTGAATCGCGACAAACACGATTTGTATTATTTGAAATTTAAAACAGTCTTATCTTTCCACATTTGACACAGTTCAATGCTGTACAATAATCGATAATCACAATTATGATCACATTAATTTAAATTTATCATCAAACTATAAAGAATTATGTTATCAAGATAATTATTAATAAGTATGGCCACTGGTAAATGTGTAAATATAGAAAATGTTAAGGAATGCGTTGCTTGCTGCTCCAAAATTACATCGGATTTTGACATAGAGTTACTAAGGCCAAAAACTGAAGCACTATAAATCGTACGAGGCCAAACATCTACGCCTTCACGCAAACACCTGGGACACTTCCGGACCGGAGGAGAGGCTACCTCCCCATCCTCAAGGGTAGGGGGGTCCCTGTGAGGACACTGCCTCGTATCGTGCTGTTCAGCATAGAGCCCACACACAGGCTCATGTTGACAGTACTTAGAGACATGATGAGTACCGTGGCACTTAAAACAAACAACAGGGGGGGGGGGTACCCAAGGTTTTATAGGACTTGATGGGATGAAATGTCCAAAGAAGGTGTAATGTTCAGGGGGAGGGTCACTGCCATTCCAAACAATGATGATCCTGTTGAGAGGTTGACCGTCCTTATGTATCCTTCTTGCCTTGTATACCCCTTCAAGTTTACACGCTCTATCAAGAGGATAATCTTTGGGATAACTGGTTGATACCTGGTTGATGGGGTTCTGAGAGTTCTTCTACTCCCCATGCCCGGCCCGAGGCCAGGCTTGACTTGTGAGAGTTTGGTCCACTAGGCTGTTGCTTGGAGCGGCCCGCAGGCCCACATACCCACCACAGCCCGGTTGGTCCGGCACTCCTTGGAGGAATAAATCTAGTTTCCTCTTGAAGATGTCCATGGTTGTTCCGGCACTGTTTCTTATGTTTGCTGGGAGGACGTTGAACAACCGCGGACCTCTGATGTTTATACAATGTTCTCTGATTGTGCCTATGGCACCTCTGCTCTTCACTGGTTCTATTCAGCATTTTCTTCCATATCGTTCACTCCAGTACGTTGTTATTTTACTGTATAGATTTGGTACTTGGCCCTCCAGTATCTTCCAGGTGTATATTATTTGATATCTCTCTCGTCTTCTCTCTAGTGAGTACATTTGGAGGGCTTTGAGACGATCCCAATAATTTAGGTGCTTTATTGCGTCTATGCGTGCCGTATATGTTCTCTGTATTCCCTCTATTTCAGCAATCTCTCCTGCTCAGATGGGGGAAGCAAGTACTGAGCAGTACTCAAGACGGGACAACACAAGTGATTTGAAGAGTACAACCATTGTGATGGGATCCCTGGATTTGAAAGTTCTCGTAATCCATCCTATCATTTTTCTGGCTGTCGCAACATATTTGCTTCGTTATGCTCCTTAAACGTTAGATCGTCAGACGCTGCAATTATTATGAACCAGTATTTACCCAAATCCTTTCCACATGCTGTTTTCCTACTATGGGTACATTTGATTGTGTTTGTTAATCTTTCTTCATATGTACTCTGTATTATGTTTAAGGTCCTCATTTTTACCGTACCTGAGTACCTGGAATTTATCACTGTTAAACATCATGTTATTTTCTGATGCCCAGTCGAAAATTTTATTAATATCAGCTTGAAGTTTTTCAGTGTCTTCAGCCGAGATAATTTTCATACTGATTTTTGTGTCATCTGCAAAGGATGATACGAAGCTGTGACTTGTATTTTTGTCTATATCTGATATGAGAATAAGGAAAAGCAGCGGTGCAAGGGCTGTACCCTGAGGTACAGAGCTTTTAACTGCACTTCAACTAGATTTTATATGGTTGACCGTTACTCGCTGAGTCCTGTTTGACAGAAAACTGAGTATCCAGCGTCCTACTTTACCGGTTATTCCCACTGACTTCATTTTGTGTGCTATCACGCTATGGTCACATTTATCGAAAGCCTTTGCGAAGTCCGTGTATATCACATCAGCATTCTGTTTTTCTTCTAATGCCTCAGTGACTTTGTCGTAGTGCTCAAGTAGCTGTGAGAGGCACGATCTTCCCGCTCGAAATCCATGTTGGGCTGGGTTGTGAAGGTCATTGGTCTCTATGAAATTGGTGACCTGACTCCTAATCACTCTCTCAAATACTTTTATGATGTGCGATGTTAGTGCAACTGGTCTATAATTCTTTGCCAATGCTTTGCTCCCTCCATTGTGTAGGGGGGCTATATCTGCTACTTTAAGTGCATCTGGTATCTCCCCTGTGTCCAAGCTCTTCCTCCACACTATGCTGAGTGCCTGTGCTACCGGCACCTTGCATTTCTTTATAAATATTGAATTCCATGAGTCTGGACCTGGGGCCGAGTGCATGGGCATGTTTTAAATTTATCTTTCAAAATTTAGTGCGCTAGTGTTGATATCAGTTATATTTACAGGGGTTTGAATATCCCGCATAAAGAAATTGTCTGGATCTTCCACTTTCATGTTGTTTATTGGAGTGCTAAACATGTCCTCATACAGCTTTTTTAGGATTTCACTAATTTCTTTGTCATCCTCCGTGTATGAACCTTCACTTGTACGAATAGGTCCAATACTGGCAGTGGTTTTTGCTTTTGATTTCGCATATGTGAAGAAATATTTTGGATTGTTCTTTATTTCCTGAATTGCTTTCTATTCTAACTGCCTTTCTTCAGTTTCATATGAGTGTTTCAATTTCCGCTCGATTTCTTCAATCTTCCTATTTAAATTATTCCTTCTTTGACGGGAAATTCGTGTCTGCATAAGCAGTTCCGTTATTTTTTTCCTGCGTTTATAGTGTCGTCTGCGTTCTCTTTCTACGTTGGATCTCTTTCTGGCTTTCCTCAAACTGGTAACAAGATATTCCTTAGATTTTTTGGGTCGATTGATGATGTCTTCCCTGGTGAAAGCAATATTACCAACCTTACCGTCAAACAGTTGAGTGATGATAGCTGCTTGCTTACGTGACACAAAGATGTAAGGGGATGTTGGTCTAGGTCGGACTATATCGAGGAATGTTTTGGAGAATTTATTAGAAAGTTGTTCGAACCATGTCAGTTTATTGTTGGTGGATGTTCCAGGTGGGAATGTCAGGCGCACATAGTCAGCGCGGGAAGCAATAGGAGGCTTGTGTGGGCGTTCCCCTGGCTGGGTGGGCCCACCAAATCTCCATGGGGAATGGTGTTAGAGTAGTCATTGATCCCTCGCTGACACCCCCACTAGATCATGAAGAAACCCTTGAGGTAGTCACAGGTAGAGATTTTAAGAAAGCACTAACTCCTACTCTGGTGAAACGCATCCTAAGCAAAAGTGATATTACTCAAGACACACGCGACAGAGTTGGTTATGTTGTCAAAGTGATTAACGTGCTTATATATTACCTTAACTCCCTTGATACCTAACCATGGATCATCAAACAAAAACATTTAAGTTTCTTTCTTGGAACATTCGAAGTGTTTATCTTCGGAAAAATGACGTAATCTTGTATACTAAAATGAGAGACGTGGATGTGATTTGTTTACAGGAACCATATACGTCAACAACTATCAAGAAGGTCCCACCCAGGATACCTGGGTATATAGTATACAACAACGATATTGGAACTGGTCTACTCACGTATGTTAAGAGTGGATTAATCTGTAAACTAATTTAAAATCACAGGAGTGATAGTATACATTACCAAAAATTCAAATTACAAACTGCAAATAGCCATTTCCTACTGTATAACATATATGGACGATGTAGTGTACTTAAAGCAGACCTGCTACCGAAACCTACAGTTAACACAGCTATGTTATGTATGGGTGACTTTAATGCTTGTCACACTGCTCTTGGTGATTTTCAGTGTAACAATAAT